TTTAAATAATGGCAAATCAAGGTACAAAGTGTTCATTTGACAGAATATTACTTTTACAATCTGCCGCTGCTAAGGTTACGTTTGAAAACAGTCTTCCTCACTAAAATGCCTTTCTAGTTGTTGACAGCCCAGAAATGGGTTCATAAAAAATAATAGGCTGTGGTCATACAGAGCTGTCCTCCTAATGCTTGTTGACACTTCAATGCTGCATTCATTTCTTTCTCACAATGAGCAAGTAAGTGATGATTCTCTTTGAATAAGAGTTAAGAGAATTGCAAACATGTCAGTGTATATAAGTTATACTGGGAGAACAGTTCATGTAATACTCTTGATAACAGGCACTAAATTGAACCTACTTTAAATTGATCAAAAGTTAAGCAAGCTGCTTACATCTCATAGAGTTGGTTTTAGGCTGATCTTCAGCAAGCTGAATTGTATTCTCTGCTGGACTATGATTTTATCCAGTAGAGATCAATGTCTTTTTTTGAGAATAAGTTTATTCTTACTACCTAATGGTTTGGAAATTAAAGAGAATCCTTGAAAGGCAGATTTAGTTTCTCTGTGATGATAATGTCAAGGGCGTGGGGTATGGGAGATAAAACTCAATTTTTCAGACTTTATTACAAATATCTTTCTACTTTGTGATCTGAGTCAGCTTTTGTTTATGGACCATCCTGACTAAGGCAGGAGAAAGGATGCTCTCAAGGACTTTGCATATGAGTTACATTCTTGGTGGTGATGGTCCAGAAGGGAGGTATATAGTTGTGATAGTGGTTTTTGTCCTTTCCATACATGACTTCAACTTTTTTTTATCTTTAGAAGCTAAATTCTAAAGTAATGGTGGAAATGGTGATTGCTCTGGCAAATTTAGGTTCTACTGTACCCTGTCCTTCCTATCCTTCTGGACATATTTGTGTACATCTTTATTGTGTGGGTTATATGCAAAGCTGGGGCCAGAGTGTGTATTAGTTGATAAAAGCAGTACTTTATCTGAATAGTTGTTCACTGTTGCTTTTATGAATAGATTCATAGAAAAAAGGGTAATTTAGGACACATAAAATACATGATTGGAAATTAAACTGAGTGTGTGTGCATGAATCCATTGTGTTGTAAATCTCTAAAGGAATTGGTTTCATAATCATAATGTAACAGAAAAGAGTTGTTTATTTAGGTATACAAATACAGAAGGATGTCTAAAATGTATATTCACCAAAAATTTTAAACAGTTGAATAATGATTCTTATGGAAATGGGAAAAATATTTCTTGTTAATTAATAATTTTATTTATTTAACAAGTACTCAGTTTATACTAGGCAATATGCTAAGTACTTCACATACATTCTAAATAATGTTGTTTTAAATAACATTATGCATTTGATATTATCATCCCATTTTACAGATGAGGAAACTGAAGTTTAGCAAGATTAAGTAACTTGTCTGAGATCCTATAGGAATTAAATGAGGAAAGTGGAAATAGAATCAATGAGTTTATCTGGCTTCATAGCCATTAAAATATTGTATTTGAGGTGCAAAATGGGAGATACACCTGCTGAGAAGTAAGTTCTGGAGCAATTTATGCATCCAGATATTGGTGAAGTGGCTGCCCCTAAAGGAATGACTTGTTCCCTCTTCTCATTCTGGAGAAAACTGGCGGGACTTAGGGAGCCCCTGCATATATGGGAATCTTCTCAGAAAATGAATTTATATCAGTTTTGGTTGTGCTATAAAATGTTTTTAGCCGTATAAAAATAAAACGTCACAAGAAAGCCCTTAGCTCCAGATATTTAGATGATGAATTATTGAGCCTCTTTTTGTCCTTCCTCTTTCTTCATTATATTTCTTGTAAAAATTGACCATTACAACCAGAATAAGTCTAAAAAGAAAGGAATTAATATTGAAGAGAAAAATTGTTTTGTTTTCCTTTTGAAGAATGTTAGGTTTTGTAACTTTCTTGACTCAAATATTTGTTGAATGAGTGAGTGAGTGAATTTGGATGATTAAATGTGCATTCCTGAAATATAAACTGTTCCTACTCTCAACTGTTATGGGTAATTGGAAGGTGGGTTGACATTAGCTTTTGCTTCAAAAACATAATTATTTTCTTTTGATTTTTCACAAGTTCAGTGCACAATTTCATTCCTATTGGGCTGTTTATGAGACTCTGTTATAATCTACTGACCTTCACTTATATGAGATGGATCAGTGAATAATGTAGCAACACACCTTATTTAGTCTATAAAGTGAAGTTCTAGAAATTATTCCCTTAGCCAAATGAGAGCACTATATAGAAAGAAAACTCTAGGAACACATATGTATTAAACATTTAAAAGTAATCCTAGGAAGGGAAATTTTATTTTAATTATTATTATTATTTTTTGAGATAGAGTCTCACTCTGTCACCCAGTGGCGTGTGATCCGATCTCGGCTCACTGCAACCTCCACCTCCCAGTTTCAAGTGATTCTCCTGCCTCAGCCTCCTGAGTAGCTGGGATTACAGGCATGTGCTGCCATGCTGGGATAATTTTTTGTATTTTTTAGTAGAGACTGGGTTTCACCATGTTGCCAAGCTGGTCTCGAAGTCCTGAGCTCAGGCAATCCGCCTGCCTCAGCCTACCAAAGTGCTGGGATTATAGGCGTGAGCCACCGTACCTGGCCGGGAAATTTTATTAAGGACAAGGTGATTTTATTTTCATTTGATTTTGTCCTTTATTTCTTAAATATGGAAGGTCAAGTGTGCATAGAAAAAACATTCTCAGTATTATGCAAATTTACCCTCTAGATTTTTTTTTCCTACCAATTTTTCTTTCCCTGAATCAGACTGTTGGAGCCATTTAAACACAGCATAATGCTAAATGCATAATCAGTTTCTAGGGAATACAGTCCAATGATTTATCTCTCTTAATGTCCTGAAAAGTACAAAAGAGTTATCCTGCAGGCCAGTGGGCACATATGGTTCCCAGTACACTGAAATAGTTCAGCAATGGCAGTAGTAACATTTTCATTCCTCATCTTTCAGGTAGTTTATAAGTGGAAACTATTAACTTATGGAAAGAGGGCTCTTCTGTTGGATAAAACCTGGCAGTGAAAACTTTGGTCTGCCTGGTAACCAGATTTTTGTACTCAAGACTCTAGACAAGATAAAACAAATGTTTTATAATATATCCCTTTATACAATACCTTTATATTTACCTTTTTCTATACCCTCACCCCTCCCTGCAGTTTTCTTTATCATTAGAAACTACATTTACCTTGGCAAATGTAAATTTTCTCTGTATCCTTTTGCTTAAGTTATGGTGATTTTTTAAGGCTCTATTTTAATTCACGTTTAGCATTTCATTCTTGTAAGCCATTAGAATTTCCTCTGGATCGATCTGTAAGCAAATTTGTTTGCTAGCAAATTTGGAAGTTTTCGGTTTGCTTCCTCTCTTTCTGTACATGAGATCTAATTACCACCCAGCATGAAATAGCAACTGAAATGAAGGCAGCAAGAAAAGGTAATGGCTTACCTTAGAGCTAATCAACCACCCCCTTCTTGTATATTTCACAGCTATAAAGAGAAAAAGAAATGGCATTCATTAAAATAACATATATTAAACTTTTTTTCTTTCTTGAGACTGAAGAGAAGATTTCTTCAAATCTTTATGGAAATAAGACATTAAGCAATTCTTTTAATTTGCAATAAGTAGTCTGATGTGAATTGTACAAAATACTTTCACCATCAGCATGGCTAAAAGTAGTCCCATACTATTTTCTTGACATTAAAAAGATAAACATTTCCAGGAATAAAGTAAAATCAAGAGAATGTTTAATCATTTTTATAAGGCTTAGAATTTGACTCAATTTGGGATTTTGGTTTCTAAGTTTGTCTTCAACAAATATCTAGGCTTATCTTTAAAGAAGATATCATCCTTCACGCCTGTAATCCCAGCACTTTGGGAGGCCGAGGTGGGCAAATCATGAGGTCAGGAGCTCGAGACCAGCCTGTTCCAACATGGTGAAACCCCATCTCTACTAAAAATGCAAAAAAAAAAAAAAATAGCTGGGCATGGTGGTGGGCGCCTGTAATCCCAGCTACTTGGGAAGCTGAGGCAGGAGAATCACTTGAACCCAGGAGGCAGAGGTTGCAGTGAGCCAAAATCGCACCATTGCATTCCAGCCAGGGCAACAGTGTGAGACTCTACTTCAAAAAAAAAAAAAAAGAGATCATCTTAATATAGTAGCCTGTAGCTTCCTGTTTTGTGGAATCAGTTTGTTGGGTAATTAACCTAGGAAAGATTGATAGTATTTTTACTTTTTAAATGACCATGGTCTGAATTTTTACTTATCAGATTATCAGATTTAAAACTTAGATAATCTGTGGTATTAGCCACACTCTACTATTGTTTGGAGTATGTATTGGAATGAAATTTAAATGAAAATTATAAATTACATTCATCAAAATTGGAAATGCATGTAACTTTTGACTTTGCAATTAAACCTCAATGAATTTTTCCTTGAACATGTGCATAAGACATATGTATAAAATATTCCTTATGATATTGTTTGTTATATAAATAAAGCAAAGAATATGGTCACTAATAGGAAAATGTTAAGTAAATTATGATATATCTATATCTAGATATACCTTATTTTTAAAAAGTAACTGCTCCTACAGAGAATAAACTATATGTACATGTCTTGATAAGGAACACTCTATGTTATCCCATTAAGTGAAAGAAACAGTCTAGTTTGCTTCTATGGAGATGTATGTATACAACTTCCTGCCATCCCTGCCCCTTCTCCCCATATAAACATACATACACACACAAATATATGTAGACGGATGGGTGAAAAGATACAAAGGAGCTATTGGTAGCACTTATCTTGGGTATAGGACTATGGGTCTGGGATAGAAGGAAAGTTTTTATGTTTTTCTGTTGTTTACTTGTTTGCTGTTTTAGTTTTTTACCATAACTGGAAAAAAAATTTAATAACCAGGTCTGGTTTTTTTTCTTTTTTAGGACTCAGCCCAGGAGAGTGTTATTACTCGAGATATTCATCGTACATTTCCCGCACATGATTACTTTAAAGATACTGGAGGAGATGGTCAGGAATCGCTCTATAAGATCTGCAAGGTAGGACCCTCTACCTCACTTTTTCTAAATTATTTTACAGAGCTGTATTTTAGAAACCCATTTAAGGATTTTTTTACTCTGTCTTCATTTCTTATTTGCACTATGCCATGTTTTCTGCTTTGCACACACGCTATGAGATCCTCAGTACTGATCCCAGAAGGTGACTTTTTGGTTGCATGTTTCATGCCTCATTATGAGGGAGGAGGTACAGCATAGCCTCCGTTTGGCTCTCCTGCTAACAGGAAAGGAACAAAAGGTCCTCTCAGGCTATGTTGTAAAAGCTCAAAAGAGTCCCAGATGAGGCCGGGCGCGGTGGCTCAAGCCTGTAATCCCAGCACTTTGGGAGGCCGAGACGGGCGGATCACGAGGTCAGGAGATCCAGACCATCCTGGCTAACACGGTGAAACCTCCTCTCTACTAAAAATACAAAAAACTAGCCTGGCGAGGTGGCGGGCGCCTGTAGTCCCAGCTACTCGGGACGCTGAGGCAGGAGAATGGCGTAAACCCGGGAGGCGGAGCTTGCAGTGAGCTGAGATCTGGCCACTGTACTTCAGCCTGGGCGGCAGAGGGAGACTCCGTCTCAAAAAAAAAAAAAAAAAAAAAAAAAAGATGACTCTGTCTTTCTGACAAGATCATGCAGCAGTTGTCTCCATTTTTCTGACAACAGGCAAGCGTAAGAATCAGTGTGCTTATTGTTGAATACTGGCAAGTTATTGGATGTTGTTGATGTATTCTGAGTTCTATCACATCATATATTTTTGTATGGTTTTTATATCCCATTTTGAAATCTTTTTTCTCCCTCATTATTAGTAGGCCTAGAAAAAACTGTTTCCTGATTTTCAGTAAATGTCCTCTGCTTGGATATAGAAGATTCTGTCTCTGTCAGTATAGAATAGCCATCAAGTTACTAATTTTATCAGAAATGCAGAATGAAGTGTGGTGGGTATACTCACATTGTTCATATCTACCATTCTAAAGAGATGATTAATGAATAATGAACTGCACAAAAATTTGGTAATAGTATGGAGAGAAAGGCAAACATCATGGCTAGTTTGTAAGTTAGGTTATCAGTTCCTGAATAATCCAATTTAGCCTTTGTAATGAGTAGAAAATATTAGCCAGTAGGTAGTCAAAAGTATATTCACAAATCTATTTCATTTTATATTTATTGTTTTTTAAAAAGAACACTTATAAAAGCACTCGCCTACATATTCTAACCAAGTAGGATTAATGTTTAATTCTGCAAATGGCACAGCTTTCATTAAAGTCCTTGCATGTTGGTGGTTTTGGCCTCGTCCCACTCCTATCTCTTTTTTCCTTGCTTTTTCTCTCTCTCATACTTTTTGATCTAACCATTTTGGAGGCTTGTAAATATATGCTGATCAAAAATCTATTTTTATATGAATGTGTCATTCAGAGCTAGAAATATGTAACTTATAATCTGAGAGTATACTGATCTTTGGAAAACGATGTAGCATCTACTTTGAAAAGTACCAAAGACCATTGGATGCCACAAAAAAAGTTGTATGTTCATTATATGCCTGTGAAGGACAAAAGTAATTATTTAAAAATTTTTTCTACTAATTTGAAATTCTGCAAACTGATTACTGGCTTGTGTAAAGAGGTTAGGAAAATTTATATCATTTCCAGGTTTATTTAGGAGGGTCTATTTTATGGCATATGGAACATTTTTTTTCCCCAGCATATAGTATATTTTCAGCCAGTCAATAACTTTTCCCTCAGCTTTCCTGTGATTGATACTAGATACTTTCTTCATAAAGCTAAAACAGATGGTTCTAATGTGCTTGCAACTTCTGACTTAAAATTTTGCTCCATTGTAGTAAAAATAGTGTTTGCTTTGTTATGTAATATTTAGAGGGGAAATAATCTGAAACATTTCTAAACACAAAAATAAAAGTTGAATGATGGGCACTTTTAAATAGTTGATACACTTTGCTTTGGTGTTGCAAACAATAATGCAACCTTGAATTCATTCGAAAATATTCATCAGTACATTTGCAGAGCTCATGTGGCCATTTTAGATTATCAGTATGTGTTTTACAACATGACTAAACCATTTTAAAACTCTTTCTGAATGAAGAATATTGTAAAATGTAGATCTGAGATACTTTATTATCGACAAGTAGCTTAAATCACACTAAATTTTGTGAAGTTGTAGAAAACAAAATTACATTAGACATAGTATTAAATAAAAGTAATAAAAGTTTTTAAGGATTTTAATACTGTACTGAGCTGTATATACATAAAAATAATTTCACAACAGTCTTTGATAATGGATGTGAGCAGAGATGTATACATCCTACCCTGTAGACCACTTGGTTTGTGACTGACCTGGTTCCTTCCCCTCTTGATTTACTATTATTTAGTAATCCAGTGTTCATGCCAGGAAACCTTAAGTTCGATGACAGCTCAGAAATACGATAGCATACCTATGAGTAATTTAGCATAGCATACTTATGAGTAATTTAGAATGGAGCATTATTCTCAAGGTTCTGCATCCACTCTTCTTTGTTTTTTGTATCCAATTTGAACCACAGTCTTTTATTTTATGACCCCCATCCCATATTCCCAAAAGCTGCCTATGTATAACCTTTAAGGCTTAAAGGTAGTCTCACCATTTAAAGGTAGTCTAAGGCTTAAAGGTAGCCTAACTGTGTAGTCTAACTATTCCAACATTGTTTCCAGAACCATTGGTTCTAGAATAATAACTAGCATTAAACCTCACACTCAGCAATCCACCTTTGAGTTTCAATTCTGGACACCCCGTGCAGAATTCAATAAACATTAATAACACCTTGATCTTATCTCAGCTGCTTTGCTATATGTAAATAAGGACAGTTTTACTTTTCCTTTACCAATCCTTATTCTTTTTCTATTTGTCTCTTGTCTTATTGCACTGACCACACCTTTAGTATAGTGTTCAAATAAAGCTATCATAGCAGATACCTTATCTTTCTCCTGATTTTAAAGGAAATGCATCTAATGATTAACCACTAAGAAAGCTGCATCTTCTTCACATCAGCAACACAATCATAGGCCTTTAAAAAAAAAAATACAGTGTTTTCTATATGTTAAAATAATTTTACATTTGCAGAGTACTTTCACATATATTACCTCGTTTATTTTTGACAATTCTTCATCAGTAGAGCGTACACTAGGGATATAATATACTATGCTCTTAAATTGAGCAGAAATTAAGAGAATTTCAGTGACAGTAAGTTTAGAAATCAACTCTGTTTTCAAGGATACAACAATCTGACTTTGTAGTTGAGAAGTTTTCTGTGGCTTTGGTGAAAGGAGAAATGATTTGAACTGCCATGTTAGAGGGAAGACTGTTAAAAATTCACTGTCATGTTTTAATGGCCCTGTCAATTCCAGTTTTGCCTCTTAATATCTTTTTCAGAGTAGGAGGAAATCAAAATGGTTCAAAGCTTCTTCTGTTGTCATAAATTTATGTGAGGGAAGTTGAGCTGAAAGTATTAGTAGAATTCATAGGTTTCTGCAGATGAAAAGGTTTGCAAATTAATAGATTTCTACAAATGAAAGTTTCTGCAAATTTGGTTCTTCCTTGTTTCTCTCCCTGTTTTTCCTATTGGTTAGGTCAATAATATATTTTAAAAGAATGTCCATAAGACAGGGAAGAATATATTACCACCCCAAATATATTTCGCATTTTTATTATTTAACATGTGATATAAAAATCTGCTGTAAGCTGGGAGACAGGTTGGTACAGTTTAAAGCACTGGGCATCAGGAAATCTGGTTCTGGTTTTGATTCTTTCACTCAGTAGATCTAAGAATAAGGGAAACTTGTAAGGGTGTGGTATCTGATAAGATTGTTCCAGTTCCAATTTTCTATGATTCTCAGTGTTGTTTAAATTTTTTTTTTCCTGACATATAACACATAAATGCAGAATTTAGCAGTTAAATCCTGTGTCAGTTATTAGCTCTCTCAATACTAAAGATATAAAAGGGTCTTCTCCTTAAACCTGAAGATTTTACCTGGCCTTCTGTTACAGTGTGGTTTGTCCCGTCAAATGGAGTGCATTTCGTGGTTTCCTTTTAGAGATATATCTCTTTGTAAGACCTAAGACCAGTTAGTCATAGTAATCAGCTAAAATATTATTCACAACAATATAATTGGAAGTGATATTTGGTGTACAATTTAATTTGTGCATATTACTTTTTCTAATTTTTTGTTTGGTGTAAATGCTCTCTGAAAAAAGAGGATACTGCTATTAATGGGAGAGATTGAATATATTATAGAGAGATCAATACTTTTGTTTATCTGGATTAATAATTTGATAGCATAATGGTTTATAGGAGGACAAAATAAACTTAACCCTTATTTTACCAAATATTTTTATCAAAAAAGATTGTATTTATTATAAAAACTAGAGCATTTAAAGTATTGTTTTGATACTAATGATGAGTTATCTGCTGCATAATTTCGAAGAATGCAAACAATCACTGACTCTTAAAATGACATGTAATCATACATTATTTATATTGTTTTCTAGACATAGGGGATATTTGTGATTATGAGGATGAATTATTTTTCACTTAGTTGATATTATTTTCAATACAATTTTCTAGCCATTTGACTACTTTTAATTCAACTCTTTCTTGGTGTGTCTGAATGAGCCCTAGTTTGAATGTCAGCATTTACTGAACAAATTATAGTCCACTATGCCTGCCTGCCTGCCTGCCTTCCTTCCTTCCTTCCTTCCTTCCTTCCTTCCTTCCTTCCTTCCTTCCTTTTTTTTTTTTGACAGAGTCTTGCTCTGTTGCCCAGGCTGGAGTGCAGTGGTGCCATCTTGGCTAATTGCAACTTCAGCCTCCCAGGCTCAAGCAATCCTCCCACCTCAGCCTTCCAAGTAGCTGGGATTACAGGCACGCACCACCACTCCGGGCTAATTTTGGTCTTTTTAGTAGAAACAGGTTTCACTATGTCAACCAGGCTGCTCTTGAATCCCTGAA